TGGAATTCGCTAAAATGATTCTAAAAGAAAGGCAGCGCTACGATACTATCGAACAAATCACATCTGCACTTCAGAATATCCCTTCGTAATGGCGCCTTATGGAGCTCGTAAAATATATTGCTTAGTTACTTAGGCTTGGTTTGGGGCGGCTTTCTTATTGATTCTTAAAGCAGCTTTTTAGTATAAAAAATTTATTTGTTGTACTAGAAAGCTGCTTTAAGAAGCAGTAAAAAAGCAGTCCCAAACGAAGCCTTAGATTTTGTTTGTGACGGTTTTTTTTTTAAAAAAATTGTTTTAAGAAGCAGTAATAAAGCCATCCAAACGAAGCCATAGATTTGGTTTGGGACAATTTTCTTATTGTTTCTTAAAGCGGTATTTTAGTATGAAAATTAATTTTTTTGAACTAAAAAATTGTTTTAAAAAGCAGTAAAAAAATCGTCCCAAATGAAATCTTAGAAGAGAAGAATTTTCTCTCTTCCCTATATTTTCCTGTACAAAATTCTGTGCAGTGCTAGATTTGAATAATTTTCGCTGTTTCTCTCGTTTAAAAAAATGTAAATGAGATGCTTCAGTTGGAAGCTATGAAACTGTTTGAGAAATTCCAAAGTCGTAAAAAAAAAAAAAAAAAAAAAAAAAAAAGAGTGAAATAGGCAACTGTGCTCTGGAAATACTTAATGTAATTAGACTAATTAATTTTTTTTAGGATATTGGGGAATATTAAATATTTAGATATTATTTATGGGTGGAAATTAAACTCTCAATTATGAGGTCTCTAAGCATATTTAATATTTTTAGATTTGGATTGCCTATTTAGGTCTTATTATTTTTTAAATCAATTTTTTCGTACAATATTAGAAAGTTATTTTAGAAAGCAGTAAGAAAGTTGTTTCAAACAAAGCTTTAAACATTTCTAATTAAGAGGTTTTGAATTTGCAATGATATTATGATAGTTCATGATATCATATATAATCAATAATATTTGATCAAATTCAATAATTTTTAAGCACATTCTTTTGATATAAATTAAGTAATTCTTTTCTAAAAAAATTTACAATTTTTCTTGAATTATTGATAGCAAGGGTGTAAATGAACTAGAGGAACTTGAGTCACACTTTCAACTTGAGCTTGATTAGTTAATGAGCTACAAGTTTGAGTTCGAGTTTAATTCTGAGTACGAGTTAGTTCGTGAGTCGGCTCATTTATGAAAAATAATTCAAATTGTTGTTATAATGGTTATAAATTTAAATGAGAGGTCATAATAAATCAATAAATATTTTTAATAGTTTTTTTAAAATATATTTTTGTAAAAAATTTGCCAGCTTATGAGCTTTCTCTATGATTGTGTATATTTTAATTTTCTTGACATTTTTTAATGATTGAGTTTTCTGTATTTTCTTAAGAAATATTAAAAAAAATGGTAATTAAACCTTCTATAATATATAATATATTCGGTTAAATATCGGCCTATTTAGAGTTGTAAGTGAACCAATGCATTCAATAAACAACTCGATTTCCTATTTCAATGTAGTTTGTCAGTACTTAGTTATGTTGTATGATTGCAAAAAAATGTGCTCACAACTTGTTTATTATCTTAGTTAATTGATGTAAAATAGTTAGATATTAATTTAAAGTTTATTTATTTGCTTATTTTTTAGATTTATAAAATTATTTATTAGTAACATAATATGAAAATCCAAGTACTTGTTTGAATTTTTTGCTTGTCTTTGGCAGATTAAAGTATTCTTTAATTAACTTAAGCAAGCCAAGTACAATTATTATTTTTTAAAGTAGTTTTTTAATAAAAAAATTAAACTAAAAATTTTTGTATTGAAAAATTGCTTCATAAAACAGTAGAAAAACAGTCCCAAAAGAAATCTAATACATATACAAATGACAATAAATCACAATTCAAGCTCCCAAGTACCTCTTATGGATTTAAAGATGATAATGATTTTGCTAAAATGTATAGAAGGCAAATAACACCCCTCTTGATGATGGTTGGTTATCAGTATTAGCATGACTTAAGCATTATTTTAGGGTTGTTTGATTCAAATATTTAGAAATGCATTAGTAAAAATAGCTCAATGCATTTAAAATTTTTAAGATGGCTTAATTGAAAGTAAATTATGTTCGTAATTTTTTTTTTAATTGGTTAACTGATAAAAATGAAATACATTACTTCGTAGGTTAGGTTGCAAATAAATCGAGCGTTCGATGAGCTACTCGTGCCTCTACTTGATAAGAGATCGTTTATATTCGTTTGATAAGGTAAACAAACAAGCTTGAACACTCCTTATAAATAGTTGATAACTAAATAAACGAGTTTGAACAACTTGTCGTTCAGTTCATTTATGTTCACGAATAGTATAGATTAAAGCTGGTGATCATGGTCATTAAGAAGCTTGATCAATACAATTTTTTTATTGGAAACCGGATGTAGAGCTACGTCTGGAGTCAGCACTGAAGGGGGGTGTGGGGAGGGGAGCCGTGGGCTCACGTGGGGGGAAAGGTTGTGGTTTGGGTAACGCGCTACATTTGGAACTTATCAATTCAAATGAATTCCTAATACTTTATAAATGAACTACAATAACTATTCAAAATTCCTTGAAAAAAAAAACTTTGACTTTAAATTAAACATCCTAAAAACTAAAATATTTATATTGTAAACACAACATATTCAAAAACTTTCAAAGTAACAAGCCCCTTACCTTTCAAAAATTTGCATGATCAATATTTAAATCAAATTGTTACTTCTCTTTATGATCTATCAACAACAACAAAAGAGTAAATTATCAAAGTTATAGAAAATATCCTCTGTCTTCTGCAGCATCAAATCGATATTTTAAGCTAAGAATAGGGGTGTAAATGAGTCGAGTCGTGCCTAACTCGAGCTCAGCTCATATGTAAGATTCCGAGCTCGAATAGCTCGAACTCGAGTCGAGCTCAAAAGGTGTGCTCAAGTAGGGGTGTCAATTTCGGGTCATGGGTCGGGTTCGGGTCGAACCCGAAACTGACCCGGCACTATTCGGGTCAACCCGAACCCGACCCGTTTTTAAAAACGGGTCGGTTTCCTTGACTCGAACCCGACCCGCTTCGGGTCCGGGTCAACCCGACCCGACCCGAATGACCCGTTTTCAACAAAAAAATTGCTAATTTTTGGGTCAAAAACGGGTCAATCTCCTCTTTTCGGGTCAAAATCGGGTCAAAGTTGGGTCAATCTTGGGTTGGCGGGTCAAAATCGGGTTTTCGGGTCAAAATCGGGTCACTTTCGGGTCAATTTCGGGTCAAAGGGTTAACCCGAACCCGACCCGATTTTTGAAACGGGTCGAAATGTTGAACCCGAACCCGACCCGTTTCGGGTTCGGGTTGACCCTAACCCGAAATTTTCGGGTCGGGTTCGGGTCGGGTTTTCGGGTCGTGTCAAATATTGACACCCCTATGCTCAAGCATGACTCGTATAATACAAATAAGCTCACGAGCCCAACTCACCGCAATACAACGGGTGATAACGAACATGATCACAATCGGAGGTGAAGAAGAAGGCGTTCGTTTTTTGCTTTTGTTCATAGAAGAAGAGGCTTTTGCTCATAGAAAAAGAGGCTTTTGCGGTATGTTGTATTTTTTACTTTGGATAAAAGTCTTGAACCATCAACTAATGACGACTTTTCTAAAAAAAGGATAGTAGTTTTTTTTCCATGGGAATGTATCCCAATATTTTATAAAAATAGTAATTATTTTATTTAAAAAATCCTAACTGGTAGTCGAGCAAGCTCGCGAGCTCACGAGTCAAGCCTCCTCAAGTTCGAACTCAAGCTCACAACTTGATATGCTCGGCTTGAAAGTTTGTTATCGAGTCGAGTTCGAGCCGACTCACTTACACCCCTAGCTGAGGATATCAAGGAATAGTACTCATAGATTCAAAGTTAGCGATATGATTTTTTGGGCCAGTCCTTCCTCTTGTGGGACTTTAGGTGGGGGCATTTTGAAATTTGGAGACAATCTTGCCTCCGCTATTTCTTTAGAGAAACTATTCATCAATTGGTTCTAGCCTTCTTATGCCTGGTGGTGACAGATTGCGCCCCTCATCTCTTATCATGTTGTGAGTAAGAACAAGATATGGTGCCAAGTTTAGTGCATTGCTCTCTGGACTCTTGTGATGAACTAACAAGTTAGAAAATCTCTTAGGGGTGCTCTCCCTTGGTTTAAGCTTCAAAAGATGCTCAGAACACAACAAATAAAAGGCACATCATAATAGATCGATGCAGTCTATTGACTCTGACGAATTAATGGAAGACATTAATTATATATATATTCAAGAGATTTCTCCTATAAAAAATAAGGTTCCAAATAGAATTTATTTTAATTTTGGTGGTCGAATTCCAAAGGATCAAGCTCCTAAGGTTAATTACATCATATATGTGTCCGAAAACACTCTTGATTAAGGAGTCAATGCTTATATCTAAATTGGGAATAATTAATGCAATTTGATAAGGTGAAAGTCAGAATGATAAATGGTAAGAAAGTGATGACTAACATACTATACCATATACCTAGAATATACTAGAGGGTAGATTTAAGGATGGAGGGGTCAGTGGTAGCTATTACTAGTAGCCCCGTCTAGAGCTTCTAGTAAGGGAGCATTGTGTTGGAGCAGGAGTAGATTCAGTGGAAGACTGTTAAAGATGCATGGGGAGTCTACGATAGTTGTAGTGCTCCTCTAATACAGCCCAATGTATACAGTTTGACCCAACATGAGAAAATTAGGATCTAGACATAGTGACAAGTATGACATATTTTTGAGAGATCATATTCTTTTGCACTATGAATGTTTTTAACCACATGTGTGATAAGAAGTTGGAATCTTAATTCTAACCTTTTATTTAAGGGCAGCCGGGTCTGGCTTGTAAAATCACAGGGCCCGTAGAAGGCCCATAGCAAATAGCCCAAGCCCAACTCCAGCCTTCCTTACATAAATAAAACGAAATTGGACGAATCCGACACCAAAGGAAAGCCGTCCAGTTTCATTGTATCCATATAAAGTTTCCACTTTCCCTTCCCGAATAAAGTTCGCTCGGCTTCGCATTTCTTCCCACTAAAAAGTCTGAAATCTTCCTTCTGCCATCTCACCGGAACCCAGTGCCATGGCGGTGGCGGACGGAGGTTTTAGGGCTTTGGATGAGAAGTCTCTTATCGAGTATATCAGGGCCACGCCTGCTCTCTCCTCCTTGCTTGGAGATGACCTTAGAGCCCTGACTGTCAAGGAGGTCGGGGATGGCAACCTTAACTTCGTCTACATCGTCATCAGCTCCTCTGGAGGATCCATCGTTATCAAGCAGGTATGCTTACTATGCATTTCCGTGCGATGCAACCAAATTTTTACTGTAAATAGAAGCGATTGAGTGATATTTCTAGAAATATGCAAGATTTGGTTGTTAACACACGAAATTTTCACCCATTTATGTCTCAAAGATTGATGATAATGTTGTGCTGTTTAGATGGAGGGATGATGCACCTGGATGTTCCTGAGACTATTACAACTACAGATACAAGATATCAACTTTTTTGGTATTAATGGTGTTGAGCCTAGTTTGTTTTTTGATTGCTGGAATGGAGTTCCTTCTGTAATTTATCGTTTTAATAAGATATCTCTAGTTTGATGTTTTACTTTCTGAATTTGTTTCTTTTATTTGGGGTATCAGTAGACTAGAGACCACAGGCATGCATAATTGTTGCTATATTTTGTTGAGTATATCATCTACAACTCAATATTAGAAACTGGAATTGCCTCTTTTATGGATCCAAGGGCAGGCACAACATTTTTTTTTTCTTTTGTGTTGGTTGTGTTAATTAAAAAAAAAAAAGTGCCAATTCAAGTAAAAAACTTTACTCCAATAGGTTCAGAACCACAATTCTTGGGAGCGGAAGGCATGTTAGGATCCGGCACATAGAAAAAGTTTTGTACAAGATGTCATGCATTCGTGGAGTTTTTAAACAAACACATGGAATCAGCATGTGAAAGGTCCTTCAAATTCGTTTGTTTCTAATGGTGTCTTCCTTTAAGAAATAATTTTAGAAACAAATCACATCAATTTATTATTTTCTATTCCTTTTGTATTCTAAAAGATTGTCTCATTTTATTTTCCTAATTACTTATCAACTCTATTCCATTTTTTTATTTGACAAAAATATAATTGTTGATGTAATTTGAATGATCATATAGGCTATTCCATACATCCGATGCATCGGTGAATCATGGCCAATGACAAAGGAGCGTGCATATTTTGAGGCATTAACCTTGAGAGAGCATGGTCGTCTATGCCCAGCTCATGTCCCAGAAGTTTACCACTTTGATCGGCCTTTATCTTTGATTGCTATGCGGTACTTGAAGCCGCCACATATTATTTTGCGGAAAGGATTGATTGCTGGAATTGAATATCCATTGCTTGCAGAACATATGTCAGAATACATGGCTAGAACGCTATTCTTTACATCACTTTTGTATCGTTCTACATCTGAGCACAAACGTGAAGGTATATCTTTCTTGTGCAACCTTGTATAGCATATTGATCATTAAAAAATAAAATAAAAATAAAAACATATTGATCATTAAAGCATAGCACATCAATATTTATTGCATACTACATTTGAGTTTAAAATCTTTGGTCAGTGAGGTCTTAATTAGAATGCTTATAGTGAAGAGATTTAGGCTTCTTTTTTTTTTTGATAGATTCCCCGAATGTGAAACGTGCATATAAGTGAAAAGGTTGGAGTAGCTCTAGTGGAAAATAAGATTAGAGAGAGTCGCCTTAGATGGTTTGGTCATATAAAATGTTGGCCTTTCGATGACCCGGTTAGGAGAGTAGATGCATTAGATTTGACTTATGTTAAGAAAGGTATAGTTAGATCTAAGAAGACTTGTTCAAAAAATATTAGAAATGACATTTCATTATTATATTTAAATGAGAATTTGACTCTTAATAGGACACAATGGAGAAAAAAGATTCATGTAGTCGACCCCACATAGGGGGATAAAGGATTGTTGTTGTTGTTGGATAGATTCACCGATTTAGATGTTTAGTTTATATTTATGATGCATCTAATAGAAACCTGTTTTCTAAATTTTATGAATATGACTTATCCCCTTGTCGCTTAAATAAAAGGCATTAATGTGCAGATAGATTTCATGACAATTTTATGGCATGTTATATTCTTTTGTCAATTGTTAATTATTCCTTTTGAGGAAATCCATGTTACTCTAGAGTTTTTTAGATTTCTTGTAACCAATAAGTATATCATAAGAGTTTTATGTAAGTCAGCTTTACTAGAAGTTGCATATTCTTTACATCGTTAATCTTGAATTCAGTTTCCACTTCCCTTCTATTAAAGTTAAGGTCCAATTCACACTATTTGTTGTTTATTCATGCATGATTTCTATCTATGAAATGTTCATGCATTCAAACCCCACCTAACCTAATCAGACTGGACTTGACATTCAGGCTATGCTCCATGTTTAAATCTAGTTGACTTTTTGGTTGAATCAATTGGTTGCCTTGATTAGCCCGGAGTAATAAGTTTGATTTAAATAGAGAAGAGCGTTGGAGGGAAGATGCAACTGCAGATGATATTTGTAATGGGAAAGGTCAGCAGCAGTGGGGTTCCTACAAAGCTGGAAAGCAACGGAGAGGGGAGAAAAACAGATCCAAGCCAGCTATCAGTATTACCTACCATTTATGAACTAGGAGTTTTTGTGTTGTAGCTAGCTAGAGCTGTAGAGCTGTTGTAAACTGACTGTTGGGTTCATGTTAATAATGGTGATGGTGATTTTAATGACTTTTTATTGTAGAGCTGTAAAGTATGAAGTATGAAAATAGATTTATTAGTCAAAGCGCTTGAATGATATTTAGTGTGGTTATCTATGAGAAAATAGATTGAGCTTGTTGGTTGTGTTTGTCAGAAGCAGAAATATAAGCGAAGGGAAACTTGAGAGGATGTTAAGGAATGTGATGTGAAACGAAATCGGAATTGCACAGAGAAATAATAAGGCAACTTAATAAGCAAGTCAATATAAAGATTATCGAGTCACAATTAATGATTTAATGAAATCTCAGTTGCAAAATTGCTTAGGCAGTGTTACAAACTCATTAGGCAAGACAATTTAAAACAATAACAAACACAAGTAATGAAAAATGCACTTTAACAATAATTCGTGGGTTAATATTTAGAAAAGTCACCTTGAGTTTCCCTCACTCAAGCTCTCTTGCGGTTAACGGAAGAAAGATATTAGCAATACTGACGTGATCACCACGAGGAAGAGGGAGCTTACAGTACTATCCACGAAAAGGCTAGTCGGAGTTGGAGGAGTAGGTGGAAGATGTAAGAGCTGCCACTCGGATGGAAGGTAGTATTCGTCGATGGTGGTTGATAGAGAAAATAGTATCCGATCCACACGCAATCTTCAACGGTTGCGTCGATCTCTACGCTGACGTCACAAAAAGGCGATCTCAAAACGTCCACATGTCCTTGGGAATCAAAGACAAATCTCTAATCAACATCCGGATTGCCCATGCATAGTTGTCCAAGAGAAAATATAGAGAGGGAGAGGAGGAGGGGTCGGCCAAGCTAAGGGGAGAAGGAGAAAAATAAAATCTAAAATTAAAATTTCATATTTAATGAATAATTAGGGATTAATCTCCTTTGAAATTTAAATTTGAAATAAGTGGAGATTAGGAGGGAAAGTGGTGAGGAAATGAATTAATTAGATCCTTAATTTATGGGATCTAATTAATAAAAAGGGGGGGCTTGGTTGGCCGGCCAAGGAGAGAGGAAGAGGGAGAGATTGAGTATTAATGGGGTGGACCCAAACAATTAGTGGCTTATTTTCTAAAATCTTAAATTAATTTCAGATTTCTAAAAATAAGCCACTAATTGGAGGATTAATAGTGAAGTTTCCTAAGAATGAATCACATTAATTGGAGGGAATTTGAGAATTTGATTTCAAATCCTTTCCAACTTAGTATTAATCCCAAATAGGAAACTAATGAAGGCTAATTGAAGGGACCCAAAGGGAGCAAGGGAGGCCGGTTGGTTGGGTTTTTGGAGGCGACGAGTGGGGAAAAACCACCAGTGTTCTGGCGGCTGGGTTGGGCTAGAAAGGTGGCTGGCGTGTGGAGGGGTTGCGTAGGTGTGGTGGTTTGGGAAGGGGAAACGGGAAGGGGGCTGCCGTCGGCTATGGAGGAGAGGGGATGTGGCCGGCTGTTTGGGGAAGAAAAAAGAGAGGAAAAGAAAGAAAGAAGAGAATAAAGAGAAAACAAAACCAAGAGCTCACCCGCCAGTGGGCTGTTGGGTACTATGTTAGCCTCAAGGTTTAAAATTACGTAACTGCGCCTCGAGGCGGTTTTTGTCCGTGAGGCGAGGCGTAAGCCTCGAGGCGGTCTGAGGCGTAAGCCTCACGAACACAGAATTGCATAAATGAAAAATTAAGGATTTTAGCAGGAAAATAATAGCAATAGTGGAAAATAAGAAAGTAGATGCAATAAAATTATGTCCCAAAGTACAAAATCACAAAATATTAGTTTAACAAAACTCCCAAAATACAAAAAACATATAAAATGAAATCATATCCCATCACTAAATGGGTCTTCAAGTGAATCTTCTTCTCCAATTGTATCTATGAATGCCATGTCATCTTCATTTTCAACATGACTCACTTTTCTCTTCCCTGTTCATTAAGATAAAAGATCATTATCATGTATTCATGTTCATTGCTCACTTGACATAAATGTAATGTAATAGCATATAAGAAGTTGTGGAATACCTTTACTTGATTGTTGTGCTGCAGAGCTAGTGGATGTGCCAACTGCAGTACTAGTGGATGTGTCAACTTGATCTACTTCGCCCCTCAAGACATCCACACTTAGATCTTCTAACTGTAAGTTTGATTCTCTTCATCCACTAAGCGTAGAACTTGCACTAAGGGTCTCGTGCTCAAAATGGCATAGGTTACAGTAGCCCAAAATTTATCATTTAGAATTATCTTTCTTATTTCCTTCCCCTCATTTTTCTTCCCCCAAGCAGAGTTAAGCCATTCAGTTGATGTAAACATGGCTTCCAAAGGTTGCCTCACCTCCATCAAGCTCTGTAGTGTCAAATAGGAGGTGGCAAAGATCATCACTTTTGTATCGTTCTACATCTTGAGCACAAACGTGAAGGTATATCTTTCTTGGCACCTTGTTATAGCATATTGATCATTAAAAAATAAATAAAAATAAAAACATATTGATCATTAAAGCATAGCACATCATATTTTATTGCATACTACATTTGAGTTTAAAATCTTTGGTCAGTGAGGTCTTAATTAGAATGCTTATAGTGAAGAGTTTTAGGCTTCTTTTTTTTTTTGATAGATTCCCCGAATGTGAAACGTGCATATAAGTGAAAAGGTTGGAGTAGCTCTAGTGGAAAATAAGATTAGAGAGAGTCGCTAGATGGTTTTGGTCATATAAAAATGTTGGCCTTTCGATGACCCGGTTAGGAGAGTAGATGCATTAGATTTGACTTATGTTAAGAAAGGTATAGTTAGATCTAAGAAGACTTGTTCAAAAAATATTAGAAATGACATTTCATTATTATATTTAAATGAGAATTTGACTCTTAATAGGACACAATGGAAGAAAAAAGATTCATGTAGTCGACCCCACATAGGGGGATAAAGGATTGTTGTTGTTGTTGGATAGATTCACCGATTTAGATGTTTAGTTTATATTTATGATGCATCTAATAGAAACCTGTTTTCTAAATTTTATGAATATGACTTATCCCCTTGTCGCTTAAATAAAAGGCATTAATGTGCAGATAGATTTCATGACAATTTTATGGCATGTTATATTCTTTTGTCAATTGTTAATTATTCCTTTTGAGGAAATCCATGTTACTCTAGAGTTTTTTAGATTTCTTGTAACCAATAAGTATATCATAAGAGTTTTATGTAAGTCAGCTTTACTAGAAGTTGCATATTCTTTACATCGTTAATCTTGAATTCAGTTTCCACTTCCCTTCTATTAAAGTTAAGGTCCAATTTCACACTATTTGTTGTTTATTCATGCATGATTTCTATCTATGAAATGTTCATGCATTCAAACCCCACCTAACCTAATCAGACTGGACTTGACATTCAGGCTATGCTCCATGTTTAAATCTAGTTGACTTTTTGGTTGAATCAATTGGTTGCCTTGATTAGCCCGGAGTAATAAGTTTGATTTAAATAGAGAAGAGCGTTGGAGGGAAGATGCAACTGCAGATGATATTTGTAATGGGAAAGGTCAGCAGCAGTGGGTTCCTACAAAGCTGGAAAGCAACGGAGAGGGGAGAAAAACAGATCCAAGCCAGCTATCAGTATTACCTACCATTTATGAACTAGGAGTTTTTGTGTTGTAGCTAGCTAGAGCTGTAGAGCTGTGGTAAACTGACTGTTTGGGTTCATGTTAATAATGGTGATGGTGATTTTAATGACTTTTTATTGTAGAGCTGTAAA